TCGTTTGTAAGCGCTGTCTGATGCTGTGACCACCGACATCACGAATTGGTTGCTTTGTGTAACAGCGGCTGACACGTAATAGTACACCGCTGGCGAATGCAATACGGAACACTGTTTAGAATGGGTAACTGGTCAGTATGCCACTTATTCGGAGAGAACACAACGATTTTTCCGATAAAGCGACCGTAACATAAGGTCTCAGACTTGGCATTGTGACTACGACAAATGATGTGAAAGTCTTGTGAAACCTGTCTGTAACTGTGGAAATAAACCGTATCCGGAGTTATGGGAGTACCGGCAATCCGCTGGCTTGGATTTACAAATTCCTTATGGCCCCTGATTTCCAACAAATGTTGATACTTTCTGACCTCTGCTGTTGCTACGGCAAGAATCGTACGTCAACGCTTCACAACGTGACACATTCTAGTGAATATCTTCACTGGTCACCTCCCTTGGACGTCCCGTAGCGAGCGCCTTTCATGTGCCGCTGACCTGAAGATTTGATCGAAGCCTACTTGGCTTGCAGACGCGCCTTCATTGCAATTTGCGCCCATTCGGTTGTCACAGTGGTCCAAAAGTCAGAAGCCACTAAATAACCTGCTGAGTTCAGCGATGCTGTTTGTTGATCACCAGGAATCTTTGGGTGCCTATCACACTGATGATAACCTAATCTACAATCCACGTTCTTTATACAGAAAGGTCTGGGAATTATTATCTGCGACCTGAAATCGACCGCGGATACTAGGATTACTGAAATCGAGGATGACGTAGGTTATAAGGGATTTTTCCTGAATTGACACCCAGTTGCTTCCGGCGAGTACTCTCTTTGGGCGTCGTTAACTGCACTGATACTGCCGCTACTCCGTTAACCGAGCACGAGAAACAACTCATATGGCGGACCCAAGGGAGAGGACCCCAGGATTGTTTTTCACCTCAAGTTTATCAGACGTTTAATAAGCATCAGACATGTACATACTTGATACGCCTAGAAGTCCAAACGTCACCAGATGATCTGGCCTACACCCGTGGGGTTTTGACAGGCAAACAAGTGGAGGAACTGTACGATTCTTCTGATCAAATATAGATAAGCAACCAAGGGATACAGCTTGAAATTGTGTAGCCCGAGGGGGGTGTCAGCATATCTCTGTGGTATTATCCGATTACGCGGTGGATGAACCGATAGACCTCCGATTATCGATGCTACCTCTGAGGGTCGTTTCAAGAGAGGTGTAAATGTCAGCCATTTTCTCAGTAGGTTTGGGAGCGATTTGCTGAGAATGCGCACAGCTGATCTCTTGCGCCGCCTCAAACTATTGCACAACTGAAACAAGATGTGGAGGAGCTGTAAAATGATGTCCCATCCGCACCGTACTGGTGAGCAGCTGTTGACCAAACCTAGAGGCACACCAATTGGACCGTTTGTGCGGCGAACCGGCTACGAACTAAACGAATGCATGCTCCAACTTGTCCGGTTGTAGACCAATCAGGGATTCACGGGTGAATACACAGGATAGGTGCTTTCGACCAAGTTACCCGAGTTGGCTTTGTTTTTTCGTTCATGGACTGCCGTTCATTTGGAAGATACAATCCGAGGAAGGCTGAAACACTGCTCTTTAGGTTCTCAGAGAGAGGCAGTAGGAACGCTAGCGCGAGGGCTCGCATTCACGGATTCACGGATTGGTACACAGGATCGAGGCCGGTGTTCTTGGGACGTCTAATAGGGTTTTGAACTGGGTACTAGATGGAGCGTGGACAACCGTCGGAGGTTTATTCCACGCAGAAACTTCCCGAAGTCATAAAACTTTCGCCCAAGCAAAGTGTACCCACTGAGCTTGAAAATCTTCGTACCATGTCCCTGTCGTGTGTCAGCGGTGGAAAACATGGTCCTGAAAATTGGTTAATTTTGGTTCGACACTTCCGTTCTCACCGTGAAGATTCTAGTCTCCTCATCAGCACACACGCTGACAGATGTCCACGTCACTGGCACGCCTGTCTAAAAGGTCTTGTCACTGGAACCTCATATGCACGGGTAGTTAATTACGTTGCCCACTACATCCTATCGTTACGGTTGTCACAATAGGTCACGATAGTGCCAAAAGCCAGAAGTCGCTCATATCAAGCGTCCAAATAACGCATCTGCCTGACAGAATTTTGAGGAACACTATGGCTGCACATGCTCTACGCCGAACGTCAGTTATAACCTCCCGTTGAATCATTCGATGTCCACCTCCCGGTTGGCTACATTCTGAGTTGGACGACGTAAAAAACTTTCACTCGTTGGGCGGCACTATGCCCCCGGTATCATTGGCTGTATAAAACAACCAATTCTGCTGGATAGTCCCTTATA